AAATAATAATACGTAATTTGTAAAAATATAAAAATGTAATGATAAATATTAAATAATAATTTTTGATTTTGATTGTAAAAATATACTTTAAATAATAATATGTAATTCGTAAAAATATAAAAATGTAATAACTTACAATAAATAATAAGTAAAAACATTACATATATGTATATTTACATACATAGTACATTATTATACAAATAAATTTCAAAAATGTATCCCCTCTGAATAACGGACACCTCCGAATAACGGACAAAATGTTGGTGACCAAGAGTGTCCGCTATTCAGAGGTTTCACTGTATTACAATTACAGCACGTAGAATGTAGATACTTCGCAAACAGGGTCCACAGGACCAATATGTATACCTAGTAGTCCTAATATTAGATTTCATAATACTATTTTAGATATCCTGCCAAATGACACCGTAAATTTATAAATAAAATTATTGTTATTTATTCAGCTCAATATTTTATTTTTATTATAAATACTATAAATGACATTATTTTTGTTTGCCCGCCCTTGAATGTTTTGCAGCTCTTTCCACCTGGAGCAACTATTTCTTTTTCACCCCCCTTGATGCGCCCCGAGGCCGACCATAGAAGAAACTAGACCTCTAAAATGTAGAGTTCACTTAACCCGGGGGGGGGGAAGAGGAGAGGATTGATTAATATCATTGTAGATGGTAGGTATATACAATTATTAAAAAAAATTTTATATGCTTTAAAGTAGTAAAAAATATTTTTTTTAAGCACCCATACATAAATAAATAATATGTCTGTTAATGATTATTCAATTAACTAGGAGGCACCAATATAATACATAATATTAATTGCAATTTAATTTTATAGTAGGTATAAATTCTAAATTTCTATTTTTTTCATTTGAAAAATGGTTGATAACTTCTTCGCATCAACATGCATATTTCTATAATGCACACTAAGCAGAGCTAAATTAGTTAATCTGCAGAAGTGTTTCGCCAACAGCGATTATATAAGTTCTATGTTTCTACAAGCCTTGGCAAGTTTATGATAATTTTTAATTGAGTTAAGTTAAGTTGATGGAAAACATTTTAAGAAGTTTTAAGTTGATAATTATTTTAATTTTTTTTTAACTCAGTTAAGTTAAAAGTTACTAGTTAGATACATGAAAAGTTGGAATTAACTATAACTTTAACTTGTTAGTTATTTTATGCACATGCTTGTAATTTTTTTATTTATATATTACATTATTATCTGTGAATTATTATTAGAACAAGATGATGATCTCATTTTAATTCATTTGAAGTTAGGTCAATAGTCATAAAAACAGAAGGTCATATCTTATTGCACTACCGCCATAGTAAGGTTGTTCACACAAAAAGTCTGATAATTTTAAATTTCTCGAGACGAACATGTTATCTGATTTGTTGATCGAAACGGCGCTAAAGTCGAACAGTGTTTTTTTGCTATCACCGCTCCTCTGTCGCCCTCGTGCTTTGTTAGGTACACTGTTTACAGCAGTGGCGCCCAACCTGATTAGCTTAGGTATAATTCCTTGTGGCCGTTACAAATTTTTAAAATTAAACAAAATAATTTTAAAAAAAAAACAAAATTATTACCTAATCTCAATTTTAAACTGTTTTAATAGTCTATATAGTGTACATACCAGGAGCTAAAAAGACCAATATGTACCTACATGTATATTGAATAAAGGTAC